TCTCTCTCTCTCTCTCTCTCTCTCTCTCTCTCTCTCTCTCTCTCTCTCTCTCTTTCTCTCTCTCTCTCTCGTAGAATCTCAAAAACTACCTTTAAGACTGTTATAGTAAAGTATTTGCCTTGCAAGAATGAAAATCTGAGTTGGAGTCCCTTGAACTCATAAACACAATAAAACAAACAAACAAATGACCCCCCAAAAAAACACAGGTGAGGGGCTAGAGGGATGACTTTGGTCAAGAGCTTCTCTTCCAGTGGATCCAAGTTTGTTTCCCAGCACCCACATTGAGCAGCTCACATCCACCTCTTACTCCAGCTGATCCAATACTGTCTTTCAACTTCTTCAGGTATACCTACACATACACATGTACATCCATCCACACATCCAAATAAATTGTTCTTAAAAATCTAAAAGCAAAGCCAGATGTGGTGGAATGTGCATGTAAATACCAGAACTGTGCTGATGGAGACATTCATATCTCTGGGGTTCACTGGAAAGCCAGACTTGGAGAGCTATGGTAGTGAGAAATGTTATCTAAAAACAAACAAGGTAGACTTCACTTAAAGAGTGACAGCCAAAGTTGTCTTCTGGTCTTGTCACATGTGCTGGCTAGTTTTATGCCAACTTGACATAAAATCAGGAGTTCACTTCCAAGGTGGAAGGCCTGTCAGATTCAGCATTGACTTGACCTGACACGTCTCAGACCCGTTGGAATCCACCATCACCCCATACAGGAAAACAACCTTTGAGTGCAACACTTAAGGAAAGATGAGAGAAAACAGCTTGTTCTTTTGGTAGTGTAGTGAAGTGACTTAAAGTAGAAAATGAAGGAAATGATCAGATCTTTGCAGAACCAGCAGTATCTTCAAAAGAAGAAAACTGTTCAGAATTCCAAGAAAGTTTGGACATAGACAATGGATCTGAAAAGGATAACTCAGAGAATAAAAATAAAGATGCATGCCAATCTAAATCACTTGATACTGTGTCATCCAGTGCACTCCAAAGTGATTCTGTGAAGAATACTAAAGCAAGATTGGCAAAGCAGGTTCAAGAGAAGGAAGACTTTCTTTGGAGGTTAAAACTAGCCAAAATGTACAGAATGAAGACTAACCTGCCTGAGGTAGAGCTGTTAGTAAGGAAATGGAGGAACTGTAGCCAGCGGCTGCTGAATGAGCTGCAGTCAGTTTCATCTGAGGACAGGACAATGAGAAAGTAAGCCTCACCAAGTTTGACTGCTATGGAATATTGACAAATTGCTGCACTATAGTAGAAGTGAAGAAGAATTTACAGTTTTCTGTTGTTTTGGGGAAGGGGGGTTAGTGATGGGATCCTACCCAGGCCCTCAAATATGCTCCATTCCTGAGCTACATACAGAATATCTTTAAGAATGACAGTATGGAAAGATAAATGTTTTAAAGGGAGGAAAGATATAAGGTGTGTGGCTTAGAGGAAGGTATCTTTAACAGTTCAGGATATTCTAATACATAAACAAAATTATAAAATGAAGCTTGGTATTTTGGATATGTTTGCTAAAGAAAATATTTAAGTAAGTATAAGAAAGTAAATCCAGTTTAAAAGGAAGTTTGGATAATTCTAGAAACCAGGTTTAATACATTGATTTGGGGGCAAGAGGTTTATATATTCTGTGTTAAAAAAAAAAAAAAGGATACTATTCACCCAGGGGACCCTGCTCATTGCCAGAGGGACTCACATGGTGGAAGAATACTACTCCTGAAAGTTGTCCTTGGAAGTCCACATGAGGTAGAGTTGATAAAAGGAGGTAGATCAACAAATAACAACAATATAAGCTATATCCTTGGATATGAGAACTAAGTATTTTATTTATAATTTATTTATTTATGTATTTTTTTTATGTATAAGTGCTCTATCTGCATGTACACCTGCATGCCAGAAGAGGGCACCAGATCCCATTACCGATGGTTCTGAGCCACCATGTGGTTGCTGGGATTTGAACTCTTTACCACTGAGCCATCTTGATAGCCATTTCTTTTCTATTTTGAGATTGTAATCACACCATTCCCCCCTTCCTTTTCCTTCCATGAAACGCTCCCATACACTTTACTCCTCCTTGCTCTTTTTTAAATTCATGGGCTAATTTTTCATCAATTCTTGTTCCATGTACACATAACTAATTATTTTATGTAACTTCTTCACAAATAAGTATAGCAATTTCAAGTTATCATAGCTTGCATAAGACTTTATTGTTTATTATTGTGTGTATGTGCGTGTGTATGCATGTGTGTGTGTGTGCGTGTGTGTGCGCGTGTGTGCATGTGTGTGTGTGTGTGTGTGTGTGTGTGTGTGTGTGTGTGTGTGCATATACACACGTAGAGGCTGGAGCTCCATGACAAGTATCTTCTACCACTCTTCACTTTCTTTTTCAGGCAGTACCTCACATTTAAAATTTTTGCCTTAAAGGATATACCGACAGAAGGTCACTATTAATTTTATTTAGAAATTAGGAAGTAAACTGGAGAAAATAAATAATTTAAGCTCACGATATCCCACCAACACATTAATAATATAGAAATGAGTAAAATGTATCAAGATGGTAATAATGGTACTAAGTAGATTTTGTTTTTCTTTTTAAGAGTGATTCTGGTATTTTTAATTTTCCATAATGAGATGTATTACTTTAATAACAATAAGATAGAAAAAGCAAAATTTTCCTTTTAACCTTGAACAAGAAAATGAACAGTAGAAATAAAAAGATAAATTAGATGGGGAAAATAGCCAATAAAAACATGCAAATGTAAACTTGGCCTAATGGCACTTACAAATAATACATTTTTTTCATGTCCAAAATTGGCAAACGTATTTAAAAGGAATATTTTCTAAGGGAGTTTACCAGCTTTCAAGGCAGCAGAAAACACCCATTTCTGTTTCTTTAAAGCACAAATGGCCTGGGCAAGGTGACACAGACCTTTAATCCCAGCACTTGAGAGGCAGAGGCAGATGGAGCTCTGTGAGTTGGAGACCAGCCTGGTCTACAGAGCTGGTCTAGGACAGTCCAGGATAGCCAGGGGTACATAGAGAAACCCTGTGTCAAAAAACAAAACCACAAAAAATAAGCACACACACACACACACACACACACACACACACACACACACACACACCCCACTGAAACAAAGAATTGAAGGAAAA